AATTGGAAACAACAAGAGAGAGATGATCGAGTAGAAAAACTAAGGTAGCCTAAAAGGAGGAAAGATACAAAGAAATCTCAAATGAAAAATCAAAGAATGAAACTATATCAGACATACCCTATTTGCCCGCGGTAGGCAGTCTAATATGCTTAACATAAGTTTGGCATTACCCTCGGGATCGTCCGGTAAGCAAACAGCTATAAGAAAATAAGTTTTAATTCACATATAAATTATGGAAACCTGAAGACAAGAAGACGTTCGTACCAAGAGCGTCAACAGTCATTTGGAAGAGGCATCGTGTAAATAATGGTTCAGGCAGTTCTCGAAGGTAATCCTTTAGAACTCCAGTTATAACGTTAATATCAGGAACATGTTCTGGACTCAATTCCACGGCGCGACTGTTCCGCTCGAAAGCCTCTCGCAATAAGCGCTTCTTCGTTGCTGACCCACATAGGCGGTACAGTCCAATAATATCGAGACCTCGTCGTTCAACTTCTTCGACACAACGACGCAATACAATGGGCACCGGAGCGGTACCGGGTGCACCTTTCGATTCGCGATTTACAACAGTTTCAAGATCAGCACCAAATAAAGTCGGATAACCAGCGCGTAAGCTTGGTAATCCGCGCCGTTTATATAGAGCAATGGGATCAGTATGCCTCATACGTATATAAATTGTACCTCGCGGCTCAACTTTCAGAGCTAATTGGTGTAAAGGCGACTGGCGAAGTATTGTCGATAAAGAAATCGCTCCACGATAACACAACTTATGACGGTGTTGTGGATCCCACGAATATACTAACACGTCCAATTGCTTATTTCCTACTAAATCTAACTCAAACGATTCATCCCAATCGAATTGTAAGTCGCCCGAACGGACTACAGTTCGAGCTTTGTGTACCCGATCGCACTCAATTACACAGTAAAGATCTCGTGTTATTCCAGCGGACCCGTGTGGTCCACCGCCGACGTGCTGTGCACCCAGTTCAGGAGTAGAACGTAGGCCACGGCCCGCAAGCAGATGAATCCACAACATACCCGACACTCCACCTATATCAACTATCGGTTTATCCAGCTTGTACTTTGAAAATTCAGCCGGATTAATGTCAATCTGACGATGAGCACGCGGTAGAGTGGCGCTGGGCGTGGGTGCTGGACTTTGATGGCCGGCTGTGCTTATAATACTCCCACTTGGACTTGCAGGCCCAGCTGATAATTCAAGCAATTGTCGCATTCGACGTATACTGGGCGAGCGAATAGAGGCAGGACCACCAATGTGTTGTGAAGACATTGAACGTACTGGTAGAGCTGAAATGGGCCTCGGTATACCCAAGTGGCGATCCAATGTACCGGTGCCCAATAAACCAGTGCGACTTGAGTAAATATTCTCCGTCTGTAAAGTAGAAAATTTGTATTGCTTTAGGAATCGATTTAAAAATTGGAAAAAACTTACATTTCGTAGAGCGTCGTGTATGTTCTCTGCGCTGCAAGAGAAGCGATGCGATCGTGGTTGGCTGAGAAGGTCGCGTGTTATACGCATTTGTTCAGCAATTGCTGAACTGCTTGGGGCTCTTCGGAGCCATGCACGATACTCGTCTGTAGAAAACATTGATGGACTGGCAGTAACCCGTGACCTTAAGTCACGATCTCTTCGTGCATTAAACTCTGGTGCCGAAATATTACCGTCCGTGTCGTCCATTATTCGATCGCCTATTCTTGACCGTATGGTTTGAAGACGAACACCAGGTCGATCACGTGGCAGTGAATTGAATTTAGCCATATCTGGACCTCCACCTAGCACGCTCGTGCCCGCAGCGGTCGCGCCACGAGGCATACTACCAACCGCAGGTCTATTATAATAGTAATATGTAGGTCGAGGTCCAACTGTAGCTTCTGTGTCACTTGAGTAGTCCAGATTCGGCCTAGAGCGCCGTTGTAATGGTTGTGCAGCGCTTGGCCCATATTTTGTTGCAGAACGTGAATCGTAACGACCGTAACGTCCCAATGTGCCACCAACAGCCATATGAGGAGGACCTCCCGCACTGCTTGGCTTCAGGCTGGAGCGTAGCAGAGAAGAATGTCGCCCTAATGAGTTTGAATAATCGGCATATTCTATGCGAGGTAAGTGCTGATCTGAACCAGAACGTGGAAAACGGAAATGCGATATACCTGAACCGGATAAACGCCTTGAAGGTCCGCCAGGATAAAAAGAGTGCACCTTTTCAGCAAGGCTTTCAAGTGTGCCGGCGTTCTTATAGTATGCATGTGACGGAGCGAACGCATGACTCTTTGGTTGTTCAGTGATTACAGATGGCGGTGGTGCTGGTGGTTTATAGCCCCAACTAGTAGATTCTACGCTTGGTCGTGTATTATAATACATATCCAATTGCTCTGATTGTGGACTATAATTATTAAGCCCTAATCCAAGTCGTGATTCAGACATTTCACGTCCATCACCTGTTTGTAAAGAAAAAGAAAACCAACGTTAAGACATCACAAAGCGGCGATATTTCGAAATACCTGTACGTCTTTCGCGTGATGGTCGAGGCCTTGGTACATGATCTGGCTCATCTAGATCTTCATCACGAAGATCCCGTTTAATGACAACAACCGGAGGTGGTTTCTGTTCTGGTCGAGAAAGCGTAGGTGGCCCAGGTGATCCGGTACCTCGATTTCCGCGGCGTTGTCGAATAGCTAAAACCAAACGCCGGGGAATTGACATAATGATGACAACATCATCTAGTGACATGTGAGTAACATCAACCAAATTAACTGCCAATATTTCATCTCCAACCTATAAAAGGCATAATTAATTTCATGTGTTAATCACATTTATTGCTTTTGGCTGTCTGCTTTTTTACCTTTAAACAACCACTAGTATAAACAGGCGACTCTAATGCTATACGAGAAACAAATACGCCATCTGTGCGATCTGCACCATTTCCCTCGCGTATATACAAACCCAAAGTCTGTCCAGGTCGTTTTACTATTTCCACTAGCTATACGAAATGATTAAAGAGAAAAAGTTTTTGAGAAAAGCTAAAAATATATATAGACATGAAAATTATACCTGCACTGTATGACGTGCATCACCTTTCGCCATCAACTTCTGGGCTGCTTCTACGGCATGTTTTCCACCTATACAACGGGGCTCCAAAATACGTACAATCATTTCACCACGCCTATCGACCGCCTAAGAAAATAGATGATATAAGCAACAACAGTGATAGTCAAATGGCGTTACAATGGCGTAAGGTAAAGTACCTCCAAAGCGGCCGCAGTATTGGGATCATGATCATTCTCAACAGCTTCTATCTGGCGAAATATTTCCGAACTAATGCCGGATACCTTACGAAAATCGCCTTGCAACAATACCGGCTCTTTGGCGCTACCTTGTCTCTGTTGCTGTTGATGTTGCTGTTGCTGTTGTTGTGACTGCTGTTGTTGTTGCTGTTGTTGCTGATGCTGCTGTTGGTTTCCCATTGATTGCATTTGATTTGACGGCAATGGTCCGGGCGGTGCACGCCCCGGACTAGCCGTAACATCAGGAACGGATCTTCCATTTTCCTGAAATATTGAAATTATTTTCAGAAAATGAAAAAATTTTTCAAATTTTTTTTTGTTTTTTTTTTTTTTTTTTTGGGTTAAAGTTAAACTGAAGTTAAAGCACACACTTTATGATTATTTATCTACAAATAAGTTACAATTTCTAAAATTGTAAAAGTAGCTCACCTTAACGCCAGTGTTTCTGGTCAAAAAGCAGCCAGTGCTTGCGTTGTCGCACATTAATCGTTTTATTGTGTAACAAAATCGGGCAAGATTTCAAAGAACGCTTTTCAATAAATATTTGATAATTGAATTTAACAATAACGTCAATACACAAGATACGCTAAAGTACGTATACACATTGAACGAAAGCTTTGTTGAAACTTTAACTTTTCGAGATAGCTCTTCTTTAATGCTTATGTATAAGCATATAAGCAAGATATTTAGACAAATCGATTGTTTTTTTTTTTTTTTTTCTATTTTCTTTTTCTTCTTCTTTATTTATTTATTTATTTATTTTTTAGGACGGATTTGTTCCTATAAATTAAGAAGTGGAGAAACCTTAACATTTTGTTATGGAAATTTATACATGATTTGATCTTTGAATATTATTCTATGCAAAGTGTGACACAATGCCTTAAGGTTGAAAAACTTTGACTTTTTTTTTTAATGACCTTGGCAATGGTTTTGACCACAAAGAGATAAAACTTAACCACCCTGGTATTAGTGTATACAACTCTTCAATGTGTTTATCTCATGCCATGTTGGTCGCCAGAGCTCAAAGAACATAATAACAATCAATAGGCATTGGTTTTAAGCAAGCTTGCGAACATATCATACAAAAATATCGATATGCTTATTGCATTGAACAATACCATGTAGCTTATGTATGAATGTAATTGTGTTGTAAAGCTTTTCAATACAATCATCAATTGCCTATCATTTACATTTACAGAATGATAAAGTCAGACAATCGTCCAAAAAATGACCTACAAAGAGCATGTCATGTATCAAGCAGGCATCATGTTGCAATTGCTTTAAATTGAATTGAATTGAATTGAATAAATAAATTAAATAGTTACCCCCACGGAGACTCGGTATTAAGAATTTACATAAAAATGAAAACATTCTGCTGCTGCTTGTCTTACTTTTCTGTAAAAAACATTTTAATATGAAAATTAATTGCCCCTTGAAGAGCGTAGCCCAAAACCATGAACTAGAGAGGGTATGAGGAACTTTTCAAATCGAAAACTTTGAATGTTAATAAACAGGATTTGCTTCTCTCCTCGGCTTCATCAAATTGAAACCTCTTATACCCAGCTAAGAATAGATAAACAAATCATTTTTAATCTAATATTGAATTGATTAAGAAGAAGAGCTTCTTCCTAGCTACAAAATATGTCCTAAAGCATTGAGTGCGTAGCAACTAAGAAAAAAAGATGAACAATACAACTCGACAAATTCTCTTTTTTCTCTCTTTGAATCTGTTTAATGTTATTTATATAAAACCATGCTGAACGGGTAGCGAGGTACAGTGAAAATCAACCCATCTTAGATAGTGATACCTACGTTTCTTCATTAATAATTAGCAAGTTCCAAGTACCTTCTTATTATCTCTCTATTAGTAATCAAAATTACTCTAGGACCCTGTGAACTTCAAAATTATCCTTACTTTCGACAATAAAATCATGCAAACTCTTTAGCTCTTCTCACAAGTTTAATAATAACATTTAAGTCTCATAGATTTGTTAATGAAAGAATATTAAAAATATCTTCTTTTTTTTTTTTATTAACACTCACGTATAATAAACACATACATCATCATATCATCACACTATATGACTCACATTTCGTAGAATAACACTATTTTTTTTTTATTATTTTTTTATTTGATTAATAGAATAAATAACAATTTCTTATCTGTTTATTTTTATATACTTTTTTTTTTTTATATCTCTAAGGCATGCATCACTCACTCACATAATCATAGAAAATTAATTGACAATTTTTTCCATTTAAAATATATTTTTTTCATTTATTTTATATGGTAAAAGATACGTTGATGAAAAAAAAAAATCCATTTACAACTTTTACTATTCGATTACTATTCTCCTCTATACTACGTTTGCTGTGGTACCACGCAACCCATACACAAGCACATTTATTTATATATATGTATACATATATATATATAGACATATATATAAATATATTCATATATATATATATACCTATAAATATGTATAAATATATATATAAATATATGTATATATATGCGCACTCACATTCAGTTGATGTACATGAACTACAATATATTATCCTTTGTATCCTTTTGCCATTTGTTTTACTACTACTTTTCACTAAACTATTATATGTATATATATATATATATATATATATATATATATATATATATATATATACTTTATACGAATAAAATAGAGACCGTACTCTGTATATAAATCGTACGCATAAGCGAGCGAACGCACCGCTTTACGTAACAACAACAACGAACTGTCGCACTCCGTTCAACTTTTCACATTGAAAAGCATTGAGAAAAACATAGAGTTTGACAAGACATAATGGATAGAAAAGAAACAGGACAAAAATAGAGCAAGGCTTCCAATTACAGGGAGCAGGAGCAAAAGCTCTCTATAGCTCTGTATGTTCATCTAACGCATACAAATGGACAAAAATTTTAAAGAGAGTAAAGAGTGTGTAGAGTTTTCAGAAAAATTCTTTCTACGTTTGAGTTAACGTTATGTATACACAAATGTGTACACATACGTATAAATATATATATATAAAAACTCGTACATATATATGTATATATTTATATATATATATATATATATATGCGTGTATATGTTTTGTATGAGAGCATTTTGTTAACAGTTGATGGTTTATTTGTTTCCTTACAACATTAATTCAAATGTCCATACGTATGTACGTATGTATGTAAAGCAGTGTATATGATGAATTTTTATAGTAGCTTCACACATACTTTATATATATATATATATATATATATATGTATATGTATATATGAACATACACGTATGTGAAACATAATATATGCGATGAATTTTTGTAGTAGCTTTACGCATACATATATACATACATACCTATGCCTAGTTTATATTTATGTAAACATGTTCTCTAATACTATTATATATGGTATTGAAATATTGCTGCCTTTTACGTATGTGAAGGCATATTCACATATATAGCACACAACAAAAACTTGAGTTAGGTTATGTTCTTTAACCAACAAAAACCAAAGGAGAATAAAAAAAAAAAAAAAAGAAAAAAACTAATCTAAATTTATGGAATTTAAATATATTCAGATTTTTATTAGAAATGGCAAACGCTTTATGTATGTAGTACATATATGTATATATATACATACATATATATATATAATAAATATTTTTTTTTTTTTGTTTTTAGATGCTCAAAAATCTATGTAAACCGTATGTGAAGGAGTATGAGACGAAACGCTTGAAATCATGACATCAAAGCGAATACACGATTTTGTCGATATGGGTCATTTTTTGTGTGCCTTTATTGTAATTGAAAAAGAAAAGCATCAAAAACGAGATGAAAAAGAAAGGTAAGTGATTTCTTTTACACATCAAACAGAGATCTTTGTTCAGATATAAAATTATATGATGAAAAAGGAAAAATTAAAAATCATAATAATAATAATAATAATAATAATAATAATAATAATAATAATAATAGTAATAATCATTTCATATTACCTTTCAAAGTCGTTTGAAAAAAATTCCATTTTTAAAAATCATTTCTCAGTGTCCTTCCGATTTCATTCACTCTTCTTATTGGTCTCTAATTTTCCGAGTTCATATTCTTTCGGTTTAATCGAAATTGAACGCTAAATATCTTAAGAGAATAAATCTGGAATCCTTCAATCGCCTTATAACGAAAATGGAACGATAAATGAGTTAGTTTCTTTAATCATTTGAATAAAATTTAGTTTTATTAAAAGTTTTCCAGTCCATCGGTTACTCTAGCTGAAAAGCATATCGCTAGATCTATATCAAACATTGAAACAAGCAATTGAAAAATTGCAGGACCTTGGTCAATTTCGCGACATTTCAACATGGCTAAAAGCCGAACTGAATTTTTTCTTGTACAAATTCACCCTAGATCTGCCAAGCAATAAAACAATGCACGGTTAGGTAAAAGTTCCATTCATTATCTAAGAATCAAACAAACGGTTGTAAAGTAAATCCGCGCAGAGTCAAAGAAAGTATGTGCGCCTAAGTCCCACAGCTTAGATATGCAAACAATGGTCCGCAAATGTCCGCTGTAAACCTCAAACCCATTAGAAATAATATTTAATGTGGCTTTTTGTACTCAAGATGCCCTTGCAAAGCAAAAACGGCTTTAAATGACTTTGAACTAATTACTTCGGGACATACGATTGATTTAATCACCCAATAAAACAAAAAAATATCTCAAATCAATATTAATCTGCCTACTACTAATACATATACATGGTACATAAATTTGCCCATCTCAGTACCAGAATCGAATTTCACCCTACCCAGTTAAGCTATGAAATTTATTACCAACCTTATGGACACTCTAAGAAAGGGACGAAGGAATTATGGTTAGTTGAAAAATTCATGTCCTTTGGAATACCCAATGCATACGCATATCTAAATCCATATCCATCGTTCACAGTTGCAATAGACAGAAGAGATCGATCTAAGGGCGGTCGTACAAGGATTAAAAAGATAATGTATTATAATATGTAAGTTAAGACAGGAAAACATCATCCGAGCTAAAAGAAAGACGACTTTACCCACGTCCCCAAAAATTTGAAATCTGGTTTCATCGGGCGGAAAAATTAGTTTGTCTAGAATTGAAAAAATCAAACATTTGCTCTGACTAGTTGAGGAAATTCAAAGCTACAGAAGCATTGGCAGCATTATCTTATTATTATTGTGACTCTAAAGCTCATGCTTCATGCAGTCCGCCTTTGCTAAGTTATT